TATATATATATATATATATATATATATATATATATATATATATATATATATATATATATATATATATATGTATATATATATATATATACACATACACACACATACACACTCGCTACTTGTAATTAAAAATTATAAAAATTACAACTATTAAAAATCTAAGGGACAATCTAGTAATTAAAATCATTTACAACTCGTACATTTAATGTGCGATGTGACATGAAGTACTGCATTCTACAGCGGCCATTTATCTCTTTGTATAAAATAGAATACCAAGATACCAAATATATACTATCGAGAAGCTAATATCTATGCGAAATAAATAATACCAAATAAAGAAATATAAAGTCGCGAGAGAGAAAGAGGGAGAGAGCATGACGGAAAGAGGAAGGTATTAAAATAATAAGATATATCAAAAGTCAGAAAAAATAGTATACCAAAATAAAAAAAATTAAATAAAAAAAAGTTTTGAAATATCAATAATCTGTGTGCCATATGAATGTATTAAGTGGCAAATTTTAATAAATTATTTTGTCTTATATAAATAATTGATATAAAGGAATTTAAGCTATAAACATAAATTCACTCAAGACTAAAATACGATGCTTCAATGATAATTTTGTTATGGTCGTTGTTGACAGGGGGTTTATTTGTCTTATGCAAATATATTTATTAAGATGCATTTCACGCGTGTTTCGCTTCCGATACTGGAGAAAATCAATGAAGTCGATGTTTGGTTACGAAAATGATTCGATATATTTATACGCGCTGGGCAAAAGTAATCTCGTTCTGTCCCGAGAATCGCCCATTAATCTCAGTTTTATTGCAACGCGATCTCGGACCCGAGTAATCTCGTTCTGTTCCAGAGATCGATGCTTCGTTTCAGTATGCCTGTAAATGGCGTATCGTCTCTCATTTATGCCGGGCGTATCTACGGGCATGCCGGGCATACCTCACCTATAATTAGGTTGATCGGCTTTATTTCCTGTTTACACTGCTCCAGGTGGTAGATAATTAAAGGATAAAGGAAATCTCATGCCTCCCTAGATTCATCTCGACGCAACGCGCGCTCACAACGCGTGGAATTCGCGTAGGATCTTTTTCCTAGCTACTTCCTCGTATCTGAAGACATTTACGATGGCGGGCACGTTAATAAGGACAAATATCCCTTGCGTTTTCGATTGCTACGTGATTTTTCGCGAATTCCTATCTCTAACACCAAAGCCGCGTATCGCGCTTCCGTCAGAGCGTGTGCAAAAAATTATACCCGCGCAATCCATCTTCCTCAAAATGATCTTACGCGAGAAGGAATATCTCGCAACATATTCGCGATACATCAATATCGAAGTTCTTTACGACGATATATTCCGTTCAGCCTGATTCTAAAAGAAGCAAGACGCGCGAATGCCGCCTCTTCTGACAACACGATCGAGCTGTCGTTTTGAATTTCGCGAGCCCGCAGATTCGCGCTCGCGAGAGCGCTTTTACGAGACGCATTATCTCGTGTACATCTATATCTTCCGCATGTATCTAAGCGTAAACGCGGCTTGTGACAGCTATCTCCTCTGTTTTACGTCATTAAAAGATCGGCCCAACGATATCTTAGTGACATAAAAAAAGTGGACACCTATCAAACGTCGTCGGCACTCTCGTACGGTTTTTCGCGCGCGCTCAAGTATGTGCGTGCATGCTTGAATGGAACACAACATACACATACACGTTAGTCGAGAAACACTACCTCAAAGGACGATAATTAAAATGACCCATTTTTGTCTACAAAAATATAACGTAAATCATAAATATAATCTTACGTTTCTTAAGTAAAGCTAAATGTATAGAATATATTTTCATATGTTTAAAAAAGTTTATGCAAAAGTGATAAAAATCCGCTTTAAAGAGATCGAAATTGGAATAAAATTATCACTAACTATATTTCTATTAAAAGTGACTTATTTCCATGATTATCACTAACTATATTTCTATTAAAAGTAACTTATTTCCATGATTTTAAGGCAAATTTTAACCACTTTTCATCATGTTTTCAGCAACTCAAATGCGTAAGATTACATGTACTTGCGTTACACATTTTAGACAAAAATCGACTCGTCTTACTCATCGTCCTTACTTACTAGTATGTAATTTCATGGTGGCTGTCTCGAGAGGCATATGAGATTCCGAGGAAGAGAGAGAGAA